ACCCAAGAGCACCCAAAAGTCAAAATTAACCATCTCTGTTCACAAAACAACAAAAAAAATATTTATATCAGAAAGGGATAAAACTGTCTCTATGAGTGATTTTAAGTGCTCAAAGAAAAAAGAAAAAAACAAGCCCATAATTCAAATCTCAGCAACCAACAAAGGGATCGTCCAGGACCGTGATGATTCTTCTCACTGTACACAGTAAACCATTAATGAGGGAATCTCTCTCTCTGGGAAGGACAGGCCGCAACATTAAGAGGCGAGATACCCGTGAGACTACTTTTAGAACTGTTGAATTCATACAGCTCTACATACTGGCTTATTAAAGATTAACACGATTTCAGCTTTGGCATTTGCTTTCAGTTTAAAGCTGATCCATGACCCCCTCTTTAAAATTTTTTTTTATCAAACATTTATGTTAGTTTACACTAACATGGCACTTTACAGATTTCTCCCAGAAAAAGGCAAATATAAAAGAGCTTCACAAATTCATGAAATCGCATTGATTTCCATTGGTATAGGCTCTATGCAAGCTGAGCTGTATGAATATCTGTAGCTGTTATATTGAAATATTACATTACTGATGAGGAAGATGATCTCCTTTAATCTCGATTGTTCATCAGAACCATAATGGAAATGTATTGAAATTGCAGCCGTGTTGATAGGAAAAAAGCAATAAAACGCCACCTATCTTTCCACAAATCCAGTGGCCTTTTTTTTCGTGAATACAACCTTTACATTCAATTGAGCTACCTACCTTCAATTCTATTGATTACACTCCATATTATTAATTAATAATAACAGTGAAAAATGCTTATAAAAACAGCCTTAATTTCTGTATTATTTGTTACTTACGTTATTTATAACTAATTAACTGTGGCTACAAAACTGTACGTATGAATTGTCTTCTATGTAATCAATGGTGGACCAAAGAAAGTTCGGGTTCTCACAGGAAAAGGCGAAGCAAGCCAAACGCAAAAGAATCATACTGTAAAAGCAGAATCACATGAATGAAGAGATTAAAAAAAGAGAAAATACACAGAGACAGAGAGACATTGTTCACAATAATGAATTATGAAGCCCACCATAACACATTATTAATTGATGCATGCATTTAAATTTACTGTTGTCGTTTCGTTGTTGAAAGATCAGAAAGAGAGATAAAAGAGGGACGTTCCAAGTTTTTAGAAAGAGGATTCATAATTCAAAGTCACTATATAAGATATTTCTTCTTGGTTTTGGTGGGTTTTAATTAGGGTTTTGTTTCAGTTTATTTTATTTTATTTTTATTACTCTAGGATGCCAAATAGTAAATGCAATGCAGTTGCAGGTGGGAAAAGGAAGACGAGAAAGAAAAAATGGGTTGGCACTATAATCTCAGAGAGACGTCATCGATCTATCGCCATGGCTAAAGAGAGGTGGGCAAGATTTTACATTGCGAAGAGATATGCATTAATGTTAGTCTGTTAGCACAAATATGGCAAGTATTAATTTCTTTTGTTTTATCTTCTCTGATTCCTTCTTTCCATTTTTTTTTTCTTTTAATTATGGCAAGTATTAATTTCCATTTTGTTTATCCGATTCTAAGTTAGCAAATATTAGAAGGAGAGAGCTAGAGTTTAACCCATGAGATGTTAGTTGAACGGTTACTTCTGTGATTTGTTTTTACAAGGTTTAGGGCTAAAATTTCTCGTTTATGTGATTCTTTTTTTCCATTTTATTATAAACCCGTTTACAGTCAAATGTCAGGGGGATCAATATAGCAAACTGGAGTGCTGAATCCAGGGGAGGTTGAGGTTGGCCGAACGGTTATTCTGTGATATGTTTTTTCAAGTTTTAAGGTTGAAATCCATTAATAAAGAAGGGTTTATGAGGTTTAGGAATACTTCAATTTCAAATTAATGATCATAGAACAAATTCAGAGCTCTGTTCGACATGTTTTTACTGTAATCAAAAGTTGAAATCCCAATAAACGACAAGGAAACATGGTAAGGTCAATTGATATTTAATGAAGTGAATTACTACACAAATGGATATAGGGGAAACTCAACTTTTGTATCTTGAATTCATGTTTAATTATAAATGGCAAAATTTTATCACTTTATAAATGCACAACTTCCAGGACCAGGAGGAGGCTTTCTTCAATTCAAGAATTAGTTAGTTAAAACTCTCATGGAAAATTTGAAATTGCCCAAATGCAGAAGAGTACGACTGGTTTAAATATGAAGGGACGAGTACCACAGGAATTGTTCATTCAACCTTTCTTTCATCACATGTTCACTTTTATTTCATTTAATCTATTTAATCTATCATGTTAGAAGTTGTAAACGGACTATATAATATACTTTATCTTAGGTTATAGGCGGGCATTTTACCTGAGGTTTATATTGTATCAATCTAATCTTGTGTGATTTTTGTTGAAGCATATACTCAGTGGGTGGGAGTAGGACGGATGATTTCAAAGTAGACTCCGCATTCGTTAGATAGAAAAGATCACCAAGATTTTGTGATTCGGTGCGGGACTTATTCCAATTCCAAGATCTCGGATCGAATCGATATATCAATATCGATGCAATCCGAGATCTCTTATTGGATTGCTCATTAACATTCTCAATATTATATATGCCTTGCAGAGGGCTCGAAACTCCACGTTCTTTAGCACGAGATTTTGAATTTCACTCAAAAGGTTGAAGGGAGATAGTGCATCAAGCTGTTGGCAAGGGCCAACTTGATCCTCTTCCCCAGGGATCCCAGATGAGGGAACCCTAAGAGAGCCGCCGGCTCCAACTTCCATTCATGTACAGTCCATACTAGATTTGACCAACTGTCCATCCTACCTCTTCTACATTCTTGACAACCCATCTTTGTCTCAGTCTTTTAATGACATGTTTCGGTCCTTTCCCCCATTACTTAGAAAAAGTGAGTCATCGGTTCAAATACAAAATACTATCATTACCATCTGAAAAATTAGACATTCAACCCGTAATCACAACAACCCATGCAATTGGTAGAGCTCTATGTGGTTAGAACTCTCTCTTCCTTTGAATTAGCTTTTAAGGGTGAGTTCTACCTAAACTCACGATAATATGAATGATACATAGCCAACAAAGTTATTAATTAAGAAAACATTTAATTTAACTGAATTAGTTTGACAATTGCCGCGGCGGCATGGTCAAGATTTTGTTGCACTCAAATGTTATGGCCCTTGGTGATATTTTTAATTCTTATGTCCCTAAGCTATAATACTTTTATTTATTTATTTATATTTCACATAATCTGCCGCGTCCTCGCCTGCCTAACTTTTTGGGTAAAAGCTAACACAAATTGTTATCTTTTAGTTTTTAATATTATGTGCCAAGACTATGCCAAAAAAGAGTATAAATCATAGAATTACTCTTATTTCAATCTTTTAACTTCTAATTGATTTTTATTATACATAACTCTCCAATAATTATATTAGATTTTTTTTTATATAGTCTAAAAATCCCTCGAACTTGTTTTGTGCACACAAATTAAAAATTAGAGTCTCTACCGAACTTCCCATCGAACCCTACAACCTTTGGGTTTGAGTTTGAATTCAAAACTCTCGCTAAATCATACAGTTTTTTAAAATCACATAAGTGTTGATAAAAGGCTCGAACACAAAACTCTATTGTAAGAGTCTTAACATCGGGATCCCAGATCCGATTAACCCTTGATGGGGGCATTAAAATTGAAGTTACAAGCTAGTTAACCCTTTTATGGGGGCATTACATTTAAAATTACAAGTTAGCCTGATTGTATAGCAATATTATAGATATTTTCTAAAGATACTCATAGGAAATTTTCTTTTACGCGTAAAGTTAAAAGAAAGTTTATTGTCTATCAAGTTATAATATAACTGGCATTGAGAGTATGTCATGTTAACGCGAATAAAACATGTTTAATTTTTCATTAACAATTTATAATACTACAACAAAATGCACAAAGAATCTCTTTAAAGATTTTCTTTTTTTCTTTTTTTGTAACAAATATATTTAGGTCAGTTTACGCTAGAGGTGGGCATTTGAGACTGGGTCCAAAAACTTAGCCCAAAAACTCGGTCCTAGGAGGTCTGGTCCCAAAACCGGACCAAGCCTAAGGAGGAGGGCCCGGTCCCTCCACCGAGCCCTCCTCCAAGGCTCAGGCCTGGGCCCAATTTTTATTAAAAATTTTTGTTTTAATCCCTTATACAATTACATAAAACTCTCTATAAATTTTAAAATAAACATAAATTATAGGAGTTAAAAGAAAATTTTACAAAATTTAACAAAACAACAATTTTTCGGCCCCGAAAAATTTATAAATTTTACCTTTAAAAAATACTAAAAACCCCCTGCAAAATTTTGTTTCACCCCTAAAATGTGAAAAAAGATCAGGGGGGAAAAAGAAAAATTTCAGGCCCATAGGACCGGTCCTAGGGATCGGTCCAAGTCCTAAAATTACTAATGAAGCCCGGGCCTGCTTGGGATTGGTCCTTGACCAACTCTAGTTTACGCATATATCAACTAATAATCAATCAAATTAGCACAACAATCTACTATCAGGAGAGGCTAGCACAATAATCTACAACCATGGTTTCCCCAATCCCACTTAAATCATGAATGCCATATGAAAATTAAACCTAGGATTATACGCCTAATATCCTCAAAACGTTATTGTATCAAGCGAAATAAAATAAATGAAAAGAGTAAATGAAACAAGAGAAATCGCGTAAATGTTACTCATGCAGGGACAAAATAAATATTCTTAGTATCATAGAATTCTCAAAAGCAGAAGCATATTGCAAAGCAAAACAACACTAAAGACAAATAAGAATGTCAGTGTATCCTCTCTGTACAAACACCTCACAAAGTTGGAGTGAACTTCAAAGTTTCTCATGCAACCCTCCAAAAATCTCTGCCACCCTTTATATTGAAATCACCTCTAATTTGGTTGAAAAGTTTCCCCCAAAAAACAACCCCAAAATCCCTTCAAAAATGAGTTTCCCACAGGCACTTACTCCTGATGAAGGATCTCCAGAATGGATGAGCAAAGGAGACAATGCATGGCAGCTCACAGCAACAGCAATGGTGTGTATGCAAAGTGTTCCTGGCCTTGTGGTTCTGTATGGCAGCATGGTGAAGAAGAAATGGGCTGTCAATTCAGCCTTCATGGCCTTTTACGCCTTTGCAATGGTCCTTGTTTGTTGGGTTTTATGGGCCCATAACATGGCATTCGGAAAGAAGATGAGTCCATTATCAGGGACGCCCCATGCAGCTGTCACTGATGGCTTTCTGTTGGCACAGCGTGGCCCGGATTCTACAGTGCCAAACAGTGATTATGTGTTTTACCAGTTTGCTTTTGCTGCAATTACTGTTGTGTTGCTGGCTGGTTCATTGCTGGGGAGGATGAATTTCTATGCATGGATGATGTTTGTTCCATTGTGGTTGACATTTTCTTACACCATTGGAGCCTACACCATATGGGGAGGAGGGCTTCTTGAGAAATATGTGATTGATTATGCAGGTGGTTTTGTGATTCATCTTTCTTCTGGTGTGGCTGGTTTCACTGCTGCTTATTGGGTAATTGACATACACACCTAATGCTTTTGTAAGTAAAAAAAAAAAAAATATATATATATATATATGTTAGGGTGCGATTTAGTTTATTATTTTGGATAAGATTTTATTCATAATATTAGATAGTTGAATATAGTGATTATTACGAGGTAAAATTTAAAAGTTTACAAAAAGACCCCTTAGGTTTGCTAATTTAACTAAACACCCAAATATATAATTTTTTTGTAAAATGACAAAAATACCCCCACCCACCCACACTGCGAAATTTCAACCACCACTGTCGGAATCTAGTGTTACGAAGCAGACCGATTGGATCTGGCCGGACGTGCAACAACCTAGCCTTTTCCGACCAGATCTACCACGGATTTGGCTGGAAAATGCCAAATCGACAACTAGATATGGCCGTCAATGGCTGCAAAAGGCCAGATCTTGCAGTCAACGACGATCATTTCTTTGGCCGTCATTGACGACCAGATCGACGAATTATCGGCAAGTTTCGATCATTTGTAGGCCATTGTGGCAGATTCCGGCATCTGGCAACTATAGGTGGGTGGGGGTGTTTTTGTTAATTTTTAAATTTTTTTGGGGGTATTTAATGAAATTAATAAACTTAAGGGGTCTAAAGAATTAAAAAAATATAATAGTATTTCTTAAATAATTAAACAAAAAAATATTTTGGGAATAGGAATAGAAATATTAAACCAAACCGCACCCTAGAGTTTAATACTAGTATTAGGTTCAAGTTACCTCAATTTTTTTGATAAAATATCATAATTCTGAACAAAAATTTTAAAATTTTAATATAATATTAATAAGGGTGTTCATAACCGGATAACAGAACTACTTTTTTGAACTGAACCCTTTTTCCGATACAAGGATTTCCCTAAATTGGAACTGAACCCCTGTGTTAGAGTTTAGGGTCAATCACCGTCTTGATATTCTTCTTGAACGAATTTTATTTGAAAAAATGTACAATATCAAAATAGTATTACATTATCCATATTAACATCCATTTATTTGTGATCGATAGTTATGAAATACAATAATTATATAATATACAGGTTGGACCGAGGCACTCACGAGACAGACAAAACTTTCCACCAAACAACATAATTCACATGTTGGGAGGAGCAGGATTTCTATGGCTGGGGTGGACAGGTTTCAATGGTGGAGCTCCATTTGCAGCTGGAAGAATTGCAGCACTAGCCATCGTCAACACTCATCTTTGCACTGCGACAAGCCTCTTGGTTTGGGTTTCTCTGGACATGATTTTCTATGAGAAGAGCTCCGTCATTGGTGCAGTTCAGGGAATGATCACTGGTCTTGTTTGCATCACACCTGGAGCAGGTCAGCTACAAAGTTGCTTCATTTCAGTCATTTTATGAAGAACCATTAATATGAAAAAAAAAAAAAAAAATCCCAGATATGAAATCAAAGCTATCATTTATGTACAGGGATTGTGGAGCCATGGGGAGCATTGCTAATGGGTGCAATGTCTGGTTCAATTCCATGGTACACCATGATGGTTTTGCACAGAAGATCAGCCTTCTTTCAAAGTGTAGATGACACACTGGGAGTCTTCCACACGCACGCAGTGGCCGGAGTTCTTGGGGGAGTCCTCTCTGGCGTCTTGGCCAAACCCAATCTTCTACATTTGATGTATCCCAAAGGTCAATACGGTCCGGGCTTATTTTACAGCATATCTGAGATGAATCATCTCCATCTTGGTTTCAGACAAATATTTTTTCAGCTTCTGGGAGCAGTTTGTATCACTGTATGGAATGTTATTATAACAACCATTATCTGTATTTTCATAAGCCGTTTCATTAATTTAAGAATGAATGAGGAGGATCTTGAGGTAGGAGATGATGCTGTGCACGGCGAGGAAGCTTATGCACTGTGGGGAGATGGAGAGACGATGAAAAAATCTCTTCATCTTCGCATACCTCCCAGATTGTCTTCCTTCTGGCGTCCAGTTTAGCAGAGTTTCAGAGTGTGATAAGTCTATAAGAATGCTGTAATACTCGTTACTGCATCTTTTGTTTGATTCTTTATTGTATAAGCATCTTTTACATTTGCATTTACATATCTGTAATTGTAAATTTTCATGTTAATGGAAAGTTTAGTTACGTGATCATTGTGCAGTAAATTTTGTACAGAAAACATGAACATTGAAAAATATACCCAAGGGCACAAGTATAAAAGTTTCAAGTGGTGCTCTCAACACACAACTATCATTTACTGTATGCGATGACCATATCCTATTTAGTAATTCACCATAGAAATATAACAGAAAGATACTTAGCAATGTACATTAGATCACGAAACATGATATTCTTACTGTTTTACACAAGTGGAACTATGTACAAACCAAATGGTGGACACAATGTCAACATTTTATCTCTGTGCAAGAGAAAATAGATCATCTTTATGATTTGAAAAACTTAAGATATAATACATGATTTTCTGTTTATACAATTATGGCAACATTCTAAATTTGAATCTGTACATACCAAAATCCTTGGAAGGAGCAGTATCATTATATAAGCCTTTATTTTCAGCTTGTTCCTTTTAACTTGAATATTCCTACCCAAGTGTTATTCCGAAAGATTTCAAACTTCTCTTCCAGGTGAGTACTCATACTGTCATCCCCCAAGTTGATAAATATTTGAAAGTATTAGTGACCTGGCAAAAACACAACAGACACTGAGACAAACAAAAAGAAAAAGAAAAGCACTGCAATTTTTTTTTTTTCCAAAAAAAGCAGCACAACCAGGCAATAAATGAGAGTAATTATACCTAAAAGTTTGCCTACTCAATGTCTAGACTTGCGAAGCTCCGTTAATTTGTCTCTCAACATGGCTGCAGGAACCAGAAGATAATTACAAATGATCCCAAAGTTTAAAAGCATTGTGTTGTAACAAAAAAAAAAATTGCAAGGAGTCGTTGTTGGTGATTACTCACTGAATGAGTGTGTAAAAGGAAAAAGCAGTTAGATTTGCTATTAATGTTTACCTGCATCATTGTACCTCTCCTCTTTGACAGCTATATCCATATTCCTCACAAGATTAAGTTCCTCGGCAACTGAATCTGGACCTTCTGAGGCACTGAACAAGATATGCCTCATTCTTAAGAGTTACAACAAAACAGATGATAGTGATGAGAAGGACTAAGTAAGCAAAACGAATACCTGTCAAGGTATACATCATAAGTAGGTTTTGCATCACGCCCTCTGCCCGTCCCATAACCAATTCTTATAGCATCTGCCAAGACAATTTCTTTACTTACATATATTGGAGCCTGCAAAAAACAAAGTTCAATGTACAACAGCTTCATAAAAACAGTTATGCTGAAGTTAATGCATGTAATAGACCAAGTAGAATAAGTCAATTTTGGTGCAAACATTTGAAAAACAAAAGCATGCAGTCAAGGAAGCATGTGTTTGTCCAGATTAGACTACTGTTTTAAAAAGTTTCCCAGTGGAACCCTAATTTGTGCAAGTAATAAAAATAAACCAAGAACCTCTAATTTATATATATTGACATTTTCACAGCAGATATATACCTTGCATCTATTTGCTACATTGATGGCATCTGAGGGTCGCACATCCAGACTAATAATATCATTTTTCCCTGGCTGCAAAAAAGTATTTAGCTTGGCATAAAATAAAACGAAATTCAAAATATTAATCTCAAAGATACCGACAAGAAACAATTCAGAAGCTTTTAATCACCTTACTAAGAGACAACTTCGCAAAGTAAGTATTCACCACTCTTTCAGTAATTCTTACCATATTTACCTGAAATGCACATAACAAAAATGTGTTTCAATTAAACTGAATGGTGTTACACCAAACTTATTTGCCATATTAAAGAAAAGAACCAAGATTCCATGCACTGTTTCAACACTAACAATCAAAAATGATAAAAACATAATTATTCTGTTGAGAGGTACAAGTGTCTTTTATAAATATGCAACTAGAAGATGCAGCTACTGAAGTACATCAAACACAAAATACAATCCATAAGTCAGACTTAAATGCACAAGAAAATTAGCTCCATACTTCATAACCAAGTTCATCCACAAGATTTTTCACGAACTGGAACTGATCCGGGCAATCCTGCAGCAAAACCAAGATCAGAAACCAGCACAATCTAAATAGCAAAAGAAGCAAAACATTGAATAATTAAAACATTACCCCATTATCTTCACCCAACAATGCATCTAAAATTTTTTCAACAGCAAACTCCCCTGCAGCAAAATACAATAAAGTCACCATCACTCATATTCAAATCTCTCCAATACAATTGAAATATACGAATCCCATTGTGCCAGGATTTATGGATATATATACCTACAATAATCGGAAGCAAGAAATCTCCATCACAAGAAATCTTGAGAAAAATGGTGGGACTTTGAAATCGACGAAGAAAATGTTGCCCAATTGAAGTGACATCATCTCTCGAAATCTTAGCTCGGAAAGGAAACGGAAGCAATTTATTAGAAATAGAACTAGAACTCGAACTCTGCCAATTGATATTTTCTAGAAACCCTTGCCTTCGCATACGATAATGCAACACAGTTTCTACATTAATTCAACAAAAATAAGAACAATACAATTCAGTTATTCATCATCCAATGAAATACTGGTGTTAAAATAAATCAGAAACTAATAATCATTCAATTCACTAACAATTAAAATCAATAAAAACAATTAATTCACGATACCTGGTACAAGGAGGGAGGCTGGGAGAAAGTCGTGATCGTGATGATCGGCGTGACTGGAGGATCGGACAACGAAGCTTCGGCGAGAAGATTTACAAGAAAGGAGGACAGATTGAGGATAACGACACCGTTTCTTGGCCGTTCTGAAACATAATTGAACCCCAATAGATAAAGAACAGCAAGTGACGTAGGTTTTGGATTGATCCAAAAAAGTTGGATTGAAACCGGAAAGTGTACGGACATTGGACTGAGCAGCTCCATTCATTGTTAGTAATTGATCTGAAATAAAAGAGAGACTGAGGCTGAACTAAATCTTAAATCAACCGACAAAGAGAGAGATGAAAATGATAACGAGGAAGGTAGTTGGAAGTGGAGAGACGAACACAATCAATCTCCAATATTTGTTTGTTTGCTCATTAATTCAGTTTTATTATATTAACATAATCACGTGATTATTTTTTTTTTTTTAATTTTGGGTAAACCCGGTAATTATATAATAATATTATGAATTAAATTAATGATAAATGTAGTAAAATTTTCTTCGATTTCTTTGAATAGAGCTTACGGAAGTAAAATAAAATGAATTTTCTTTAAACAGAGCTGAGGAAAATAAAAAAAAATAAAAAATATTTGATGACAAATCTATTTATTGTCTGATTAAAAAAAGAAAAATACTATATTTATAAACCTCTAATATGATGTCACTAGTCAATTCATTATGGATTCCATCCGTGTATTTATTAACTAACCAATAATAAAATGTACAAACATTATTATTTAACAAAAGCCAAAAAACATGTTACCACCCAAAGTTTGCCGTAATTACAATTTACTACCAAAAAAAAAAAAAAATCATAAACAGTAAAATGAATTGAAATTGGACTGTTAAAAGATATCAATAATACTATGCTTACTCGCAAATTTACTAACCACTTTACTCACCTTTATTAAAATTACATATGATATTCGTACTATATTTATAGTACTCGTACTATATTTTATATTTACAAAGGTTAATAAGATGAGTAGTAAGTTCGTGAGTAAGAATATCTTTTCGTCAGCAAGGCGCTGACCACCTGCTTTACCTTTCCAGGGTAAGCTGAAAAGTTGTTTCCATTGCGGGTCAAACAATAAAAGCAATTCATTTTCTACTAGTTTGATAGTCTGTTGTCTTGCTCAAAAAATGAGATGAGAAGCTAATGAATAAAACAGATTATATTCATTGGGTAGATTGACCAATTAATAATACAAGGATTATACCGGCCCAAGATTCAATTGATAAGACATATACAAAAACTACTTATAATGGTGATTGGGTGATAGATTTTACAGTAAAAGAGCAGGCTGTGGAATGCACATTCTTCTTACTTGCCTTGTCGGTTACTTGTAAGCTCGAGTTCGCCATTGGAAGGATCATCTGACATACATACATTCCATCGTGCGATGCTCAGTTTTTAAGTGATTTTTGATGATGCTGAATCTAATACTACTACTGGGCTGAACAGTCAGTTTGGCAATTGTAACACTAATGGGATGGATTTTATGTCGGAGCAGTCAACGGCGTTTGGAAGCTGCTTCAACAGCTTGATTAATTCGTAAGTTCTTGTGTCTTTACCGGAGTACAGGCATAGATCAAGTGGGGTTAAACCCTCCTGCGTCAAAGAAAAAAGATTAAAAGATCTGACACCTGCATGCAACTATGTAACGGCAATTAAGCATTTTATGAAATCTCAGACGAAACATCAGCGGAAACATTGCACATCAAACAGCCAAAACATCAGCCGGAAAGAACTTGCTGAAGTACTAAAAATGTCATACCAGTAACCAAAGAATGCCTCTGAAATCTCAATCCTATATTTATATATAATAAAAAAGAGTCCCAATGTTTGGTAAACTTATGGACAGGTATCACTTTCATATAATTTTGATAAACGATCCTTAAAAGAAATACGTGAATCAACTTATATTTACCACGCGTACTTTAGTAAGTTTGAAAGAACGGAAATGACTCTTCTAGTTTTCAAGGTCGTGGTTGTCTATCATGAATCTGGAGCTTACTATTATAATGATTATGTAATAATGTAAATCACATCATAAAAGTGCAACCTCTAGGTTCCATGATCTGGTTATGGGTGAACTAACAAAGACTTTAAGCACCTATACACAACAAGGTCTTAGTATATAGTAGGGAAAGTTGACGTTAATTGCTTAATTCTTACCTGGTTTTTCAATGTTTTATCAGCTCCTTTAATCAATAACAGTTTCACTATATCTGTCCTACGGGCTTGAACAGCAAGATGTAAAGGTGTCCATCCATCCTGAAAAGTGCAAATAAGAATATTCCCCAGCAGAACAGATATAAAATAAAAATGCAAAGGAACAATAGGCAATTGTCGAACATACATTGTCTTTAAGATTTAGATCAACATTGTATAACAAAAGAATTTTGATTGCTGGACTTGATGCTGTTTGAACAGCATAATGCAGTAAAATGGCCCCATTCTGTAGCAGCAAGAAAACATAAAATGTATCAACTTACTAACCAATTGAATGACCAAATATACTAAGTGGTGTAAATGCATTAAGCTGAACAAACAGAAGTTTACAATAAACACCATTACCAAGATATTAATGAGCCTAAATCAAGTTAAAATAAGGAAATGCGGAAACAAAAAAACCAACAAAGTATGTAGGAAAAGATGATTAGCCATCAAGATGAAGATGAAAATAATAGAATTGATGAAGAAGTTAGTCCTACAAAGAAATAATGGAAGAATATCAAGAAAAGATATACATGACTAAGGTCCCAATACAGAGAATTTCAGATAACAAGCAATCTCAAATTTTAAGTTCAGCAAAAAGTAAGCCTTTGTGAATAGAAGCCTTTCACAAAGAAGACAAGATATGACTGGCACCAACAATAATTTGAGGCTAAATATACTCTTTACATGGATAACATATATTCGTATATGGTCCAAGGCCAAATAATTTCAACTCACATCATCACGAACAAAAGTATTCGCTGATTCTCTCAACAGATAGTTGGTAACTGCCTGCTTCTTCCCAATGATAGCTTTGTAAATTGCAGTCAAGCCATCCTGAAAAAATGTTGGAAGCCAAAATTGAAAAATTTATTTTAAAAAAAAGAAGGGCTTAAAATAGCGGCTAAATGTAATATCAAGTGACATTTCCTTCATTTAGATAAACATTCTGACGTATTTAACCAGAAAGTGAAAGTGAGAAAAACAAAGGCACCGTATCATATCTAGTCAAAAAGTGGTCAATTTATATACCTTATCCACAGCATTGATGTCAACATTATGTTTCAATAAAGCATCAACAAGGTAGAACTCTCCAGATGCAGCGAGGGTTTGAAGAGGTAGCCATTTTTTCTGAAAAGATTTCATCAAAAGTTACAAACAGATGACAACATCAAGTCCATTAAAACAAACCACAAGGATTATTCTACTTAAATGGTTAGTACTTGAAGCCAATAGTACACTGTTACAGATAACATAAGACCCATTATAACTGCTTAAAAAGTCCACTTAAGTTTTTTGCAAGGCGCTTTTTTGCATGATTTCTTCAGAGTAAGGTCCAGGGTTCAAGCACATTAACGCACAGATACAATCTAGGATCAGAAACATTGTTGCAGTAGATTCATACTCATTTGAACCCCATATTTTTTATTAAAAAATCCTGGTTTTTATTAGTTAAAAAGAGGAAAGTACTTGGGTGCTAGTCTACATAATTTTTGGATCAATCTAGCAATGGTATGTTACTAAAAATAACATTATGTACAATTCATATGAGAAAAGAAAATTGAAGAAGCAGTTATGAAAAGTCCAGCAGAGTTCAGCAGAGCTAACTGCCACTGGTGCTGACCTTGCAAGCTCATAGGATGCAGTTAGCTCCCACTTACTGTTTCCAAAAATCAAAGCTTAAACTAAGGAAACTGTTAACCGAATTCCCCTCCAATTTTGAGTATATAAATAATGCTTTGTAGCACAGTTTTAAATAGCGAAAAAAGTTTGTTCAGTTTTGGAAAATTCCAGCTCTCTTAATTTTTCTTCTAAAACTCTCTCAAAATCCTCACTCCATAGAGTCAGCTTTCCATTCAGTTGAGCCTAAATTCTTCTATTCTGAAAATGTGTCTCGTTTTCATTTCTCCTCTATTTGAGAGTTTGTTCTAGTTATGTTTTCTGATTCTCCAGCAGAAAGTTCTGGCCATTCACCAGCAAATCCTGCAAGTTCTATATCTCCTCTTACTGATCACTATACCGCATTAATACCACTTTCACCACCTGTTTCACCAGTTCCACCACTAGCCTTTGCTTCTCAAGTGAATTCTATACCTTCTATACCTCTTGCTGACCTTCCTATAGCTCCTTCCCTTCTCCCTACTCATCATATGGTTGCAAGAGCCAAAGCTGGCATTTTCAAATCTAACATCTATATGCCAGTTTACCGTCTCCACAGACTTCCAAAGTACCTCAAACTGTTGCTCAAGCTCTCCAGGTTCCAAAGTGAAAAGAACCATGGTAGAAGAATATGAGGCTCTTTTCACAAAAGAGCCAGGAGATTTGTTCCTAGAACTTCAAATATGAAAAGCATTTCTCGAAGGAGGGAAAGGTTTTTCTTTTTATACAATACTTACTATTGATTGGATTTTTTTCTTAATTGTTTTCTTGGTCTATTTGAACGGATTATGTCCTATCTTTCTTCTATAATTTATTTTAGCTTTTGTGTTCAGGTTGCTTCATGTTTTCTTGTTGTGGAACCCCGTACACGCATCTCTCGAGGTTTTGCTTTTGTCACAATGGACACTGTTGAGGATGCCACCCGTTGCATTATCTCAACCAGTCAGTTCTCAAGGGGCGATATATCACTGTAGAGAGGGTAATGTGATTTCACCCTTGGTGGTAAACTTAACCAGTTTTGATTGGTTATCTTTCTTCTTAACTTGGAGGTTTTCTGGTTATATTCAGAACACGTTGCATCAGCTATGTTGGCAGCAATCAAAGATGATGAGTTCATCCATGTCAACTATAGTGAAACAGCTTGATCAACGGCCAGCTTAAACAGCTTTTCAAATGCATGTGATCAACTAAACATAGAAACTAGTTTGCCCAACAACTATACAACCTCAGCATTCACTTTCAACTCTATCAACTAATCAACGGACATTAGCAACAAGTTTCTAATCAGGATTTTATGGTATTTCATACCTGTATTCATTTAGTGGGCGATAGTTGTGTGTCTAGATATTTTGTTATTCCCTCCTCGGTAGCTAGGCTATTCTCCCATATTTGGAATTTTCCTAATGAAGATTTTTCATTTTGTTTTTGAGGATGACTTATCAAATGTTACTTGTGGAAATGATGCCTGATCGTGTTCCTTACCATTACTCAGTCGTTATTTAAAGTAAAATTTTATAATGGATAATTTTATAGAGGTGATTTTTTTTTTTATCTTTCAGTCTCGGAGGAAACGTCCTAGAACTCCAACACCCGGACACTATCTTGGGCTGAAAAGTAGTAGGGACTATGGTCATGGTAAGTATAATATGTTTATGATATTCCATCCTTGGAATGATTCATTGGTTCAATGGGCATCCTAACTAAATTGTTTACTGGTAAATTTGCTTCTTGCATTTGTGAAAGGTTCTCGTGGTGATCGTGGTAGTGGGTATCGTTCTAGCCGTGATGATTATGGGTATCGTAGGTCTCCTAGGCGCTCACCATATTGAGGAGGTCGTGATTATTCTCCTGTGCACTCTCCTCACGGTGGAAGATCTAGGAGGGACAGATCTAGGTCGCTGCCTCATTCCCCTTACGGTAGCCCAGCAAGGAGGTACTCAAGCGGTTCTAGGTGATGCTATTTGTTAATTTTTCATGTGCTCTTTCAAGGGATTGATGAAACGTTTGAAATTGAATGTATTGACGTATTGAGTCTAGGTTGGGACTAGAACTAAGGAGACTCAAATGGATGTTTGGGATGGCTTTGTTCTCTAGGGCAGTGACGTTTCTTAATCCTGTAGCTTTTTGTGCTGCTCGTGCTGGGGAGCTTTGCTATACCAGTTGAATTCATACTTCATGACCCAGATACGATTGTTATGAATGTAGATCATAATGTTTGTGGCGTTTACTTATTATGAATGTAGCTCATAGAACTTCTGGTGTTTGCTTATTATGAGTAGATTATAATGTTTGTGGTATTTACTTCAATGTTCTGAAAACCGGACCGGACCAGACCGATCGATCGGTAATGGGCGGCATATCTGGTCCGGTATCCTTTAAAAACCGTTAATTTTATTCAAACCAGATTGGATTGCGGTTGGACCGTTGGAATAGTGCCGAATCGCTGTCCAATCGCAGCTCAATCCCGCCGAATTCTGGCATCGTTCGAGGGAGAAAACATCACCATTAGACTTGACGGCATCTCCACGACAAAACCCAGCCATTTTCAGTGGCCGTCATCTAGCCTTCGTTGCTCATCGTCCACCTAAAGTTCACGCGACCGTCAGACTTCTTTTGTTGATTCCAGTGATTTTCGGCGCCGATGGAACTCCTTAGCACCACCATCAGATTCGCTGGCAACTATACATCAAAAGCCCCATGATTCCAAACCTTGATTAGCCGTCGATCATCGCTGCCACCACCATCACCAGTCTCTTTGCATGATAGGGGTGTATTAGACAGATTTCAAACTTAAGGGAGTATTATAGAGGTGTTTTTGATGAATTTCAAACATTTAGGGACTAAAAATAATTTTATAGATTACGGTCCAACCGACCGATCCAACTGATCAAACCGGTCAAACCGGAAACCTAACCCTTGAACAGGTCATAGTCCGGTCCGGTTTTCAGAATATTGATTTACTTGCTTCGCATCCCATTATCATGCATACGGCGATGGTTGCATCTCAAATTGTCAGTGCTGTAGAGAAGGATTTTGTTGCTGGTGTGTGAATCAAATTGCTTATCAGTGCATTTCGTCCAATCGTATGGAACCCAATTATATGTTACATTCATTAGTTATACGTTGATTGTATCAACGTGAAATTTGTAATATCAGAGTATCGTTTCACTGGTACATTAATGTGAAACTTGTAAAATTTGCTAAAAGCATGAAGACTTGAATACGTGAGGATTAAGAGAACATTACCTATAGCGAAGATTTTAAAACTTGAACTGCATATTACACACGAAATAATTGAACACAAGATAATATTGTCACAAGTTTTAGCCCATATCCACTGAAATAAGGGAAAAAGAAATAAAATTGTTCATCGGGTATTCAATAAATTTTGAGAATTGGTTAAGGTGTACGAGAACTGGTCTGAACACTCCCGTTACCCAATAAAAAAAAGGTTCATCACATTTTTAGGGTCAGTCTGGTTAAGAAAACAAAAAATATGTGGAATTATTGTAAGTGACCATATGAGATTAAAATTTATGTGTTAAAGCTGGCCCAATTAAACTTACTCGAGGCCCAACATTACTTACTGACTTTATTTGCCTTTGATTACAACACAAAGTGGTAAACAATCTCCTTGCAGTAACGGGGGAAGAACTTAACAATGTCAGTGTCACTCCCAACTCTACTGAACCCCTACTGTAACCCCAAACTCTCTTATCTTCTTCCTCACTCTTTTCTTTCATTTTCCCACAAGCTTTCTTCTTCACCACAGAACTTTAATTTCCGTACAAAAAGACTCTACTCCCTCTTCCCTTCTGAATCTTCTTCTTACCTTCTTCAAAACGACAGCCTCGAACTTGAAGACCGTGTTATCGGCGACTGTTTAGTCTTCGAGGAAGGCGTGTTTGAGGACCCTTACCTTCAAAACGATGCCAGCCTTAGCAAAAACTCCGACTCAGACAAACCTAAACGGAAAAACAAGAAAAAATCNACCTACATAAAATGAATTTGATTTTGAGAAGCTACCTAAATCCTTTATAAAACTGATTATAAAATAATTAGCTTTATTCATAATCAGATAAAAGATTAGTGTACCAAACACTTTTGATATCTTTACAATCCTAAACAATTCTTAGGAAATCTCAAGTTTCATAATGACTTAGTAACAAATTCTTAGGAAATCTCAAATAGTTAATTCATGATTAATTTATTATTAGTAACAATCATGAGCTCCTCTTTATTAAGCACTAATAGTAAAAAAACATACCATCAAACTATTCTGCACTATTGTTTTAAATAATTACAGAAATAATAATAATAAAAAATCTTAGTTTTCAACCTTTGATTTACTATAATTTAATGGTTGTGAATGGAAAAGCTATAAGTGGTTATTTCATGTGTCATTTCAATACCTTTTAAACGTTAAATTCTAATTTATGAATGACTATTAATTAGTTTCTCCAACCGAGTTAAAATAGAAGTTATTATAGCGTGGTTTATAAAAAATTATTTAAGTCTCTCGATAATTTATTATATATCAAATCTTCAATTGCACTAAAGAGTTTAAGCTAGAACAAATGTGGTTTATTGCATGATAATTAGGCAGTTGCTACAAGTCGTTTTACTGCAGCTACATGTCGTTTGGATACAGGCTAATTTCTTGCTGTATTTCGTTTATTTACTTTTATATTATTCTTTTATTCTTTGTAAATCATCTCTGTAATTAGCTAGTCTTTTATTCTGTAACTGCTTTCTGTTAGTTTGTTAGAATAGAGTGCTTATATTAGTTGCCTTTTGTAATAGTCTGATAGAACAATATACACAATATTCACCTTTTTCTAGACTTCTGTTATTCGCCCTTTTTCCTTCTCTGCTTTACCATCTCACATGGTATCAGAGCCTAAACACCAACTCCATGGAAGATCCTCTCGAAAGTTCAGCCGATTCATCCTCAACTCACGCCGAACAATCCTTCGGCAACCCACCCGACCCTTGTGCCATTAATCTGGCTCGTTACCTGAACCTCAGTGATCTCGGTAATCCCTTCCGGCTAGATAACGGCGACAATCCTGCTGTTATTCTCGTCACCGATTTGTTCACCACAGATAATTACATCACTTGGTCGCGTGCTATGCGACGGGCCCTTCATGCCAAAAATAAATCAGGGTTTATCTCTGGAGATATCCCTAAACCAATCGACCCTACAGACCCTCTCCTTGAGCTCTGGGAGCGTTGCAACGACATGGTAGTGTCGTGGATTCAAAACTCCATCAGCTCTTCAATCAAATCCAGCATGGTGTTCGTTGATGATGCACGCGACATATGGCTTGATCTTCAAACCCGATTCTCTCATCAAAATGGTCCTCGGATTTTCCGGCTAAAGAAAACCTTAGCCAGCCTTGTTCAAGACGCAGACTCTGTCAGTATCTATTATGGTAAGCGTAAAACTCTTTGGGATGAGCTTTCCATTTACGATCCAATCCCTATGTGTACTTGTGGAATTGCGAAAACTCTTCTGGATAGATATCAACGTGACTCTGTTTTTCAATTTCTTATGGGTTTACATGATACCTATTCTAATGTACGTGACCAAATCATGATGTTAGACCCTCTCCCACCTGTAAGCAAGATTTTCTCCCTCATCCAACAACAAGAGCGACAACACCAGCTTCTTCCCCCTAACCCATCCCCTGACTCAATGGCCTTAGCCATCAAACGACCTTTCATCCAACCTGCTAAGCCATACACTCCGACCAAATTTCCCCCTAAGAAAGACCGTGCCTATTATACCCATTGTAAGATTTCTGGTCACATTTGAGACCTGTTTTAAAGCTAGAAATGCAGAAGCCCCTATATGTTCTCACTGCAATCTGTCTGGTCACACCATGAAGAGGTGCTACAAATTGCATGGCTATCCACCGAGCCATAAGTTCTTCAACAAAAACACCAGTTCTGCCGCTCTTGTTACACAGAATACAATGTCTAATGCTTCTGACCTTGATGAGGTTAGTGATGGAGGAGTGGGTTTAACTCAAGCTCAATATCAGCAACTACTAGCTTTACTTCAACCAAGGACACCATCTGCCACTGCTCAATCTCCTCCTCATCAAATTCAGTCTAACTTCACTTCTGCCACCTTACCTAATTCGCAACTTAATCTCTCTGGTATTTCTTTTTGTCTCTCTACATGCACACACTCTCCACTTCACTCAACTAATGTTCCTTGGATTATTGATATAGGTGCAACCGACCACATGGTCTGCTGCACCTCTTTGCTCACCACCATCACTGCTCATGTTAATTATTCTGTTAAAATGCCAAATGGTACTAAGGCCCCTGTCACCCACGTTGGCACTGTCCACCTCACTCCATCCATATCTCTACATGAAGTTTTGTGCATACCATCTTTTCAGTTCAATTTAATTTCTGCAAAAAAATTAACTGCATCTCTCACTTTTTGTCTAGTTTCTTTTCTGATTGTTGTCTTATTCAGGACCTTTTATCTTGGACAACGATTGGACAGGGTGAAGTAAGGAATGGCCTCTATCACTCCATGAAGACTGCAGTCTCTCCTTCCTTTTTAGCTAATAAACTTTCCACTCTCTCCACTGCCGTTTTTACTGGTTCAGCTTCCAGTTTCAACAAATTAGATGTTATTGACCTATGGCATTGTCGCCTAGGTCATCCTTCCTTTACATGTATCAATCTGATCATAGATCCCATTGTAAAGAAAAATGTTTCATCTATTAATACAAAACCTTGCTGCATTTTCCATTGGCTAAGCTCCATAGATTGCCTTTTCCTCACAGTCAACATAAGACCTTTAAACCCTTTGAAATTATACACTGTGACCTATGGGGACCATGCTCCACTATTGCATATGATGGTTCCAAATTTATTCTAACCATAATTGATGACTTCACTAGAACCACTTGGTTATAAATTTTGCAAACCAAATCTGAAACCCGAAACTGTCTCATTTCTTTTTCTAACATGATTGAAAATCAATTTGACCTTAAAATCAAAATTTTAAGAAGTGACAATGGAAGTGAATTCCAAATGACAGATTTTTTTAACACCAAAGGAATCATACATCAAAGAAGTTGTGTTGCCACCCCCACAACAAAATGGCATTGTGGAACGAAAACACCAACACTTACTTAATGTAGCCCGAGCTTTAAAAATACAAGATGGTCTTCCTCTTGAATATTGGAGTGATTGTGTTTTGACAGCCACTTATTTAATCAATAGGACCCTTAGTCCCCTTCTTCAAAACAAGACCCCTTATGAACTTTTGTTTAATTCCAAACCCATTTATGCACATATGAAAATTTTTGGTTCACTTTGTTTTACAACCACACTTCCTCATGGGAGGAAAAAGTTTGATCCCCGGGGTCGCATGTGTATATTTCTTGGCTATCCCTTTGGCATCAAGGGCTATAAAGTTCTTGACCTTAACACCAAATCCATTTTTATATCACGGATGTTGTCTTCCATGAGACTATATTCCCCTTCCACTCCTTTCCTTCCAACCCTCCCCTCTCATCCCAAAATGACTTTGTCTTTACTAAACCACTTCCCGACCTGCTTGACTTTCCGCAGATAGCCCCCAACACTCATCCCCTGCCACCACTAACAAATTTTGGGCAGTCCATTTCCTCTCCAGAACATGCAGCCACTCTATCACCCTCCCCTCCTTCCCCAAATAACACTACATCTTCCCCTTCTAATCCACCCCTCCGCAGGTCAACAAGAGTAAGGAGAGCTCCTCAGTACCTTCAAGAATTTCACTGTCAACAGGCATCACTCCCTGCTTCCTCACCATTGTTGTCCAAGCTGGAAGGCACTATTTCAGGTAACAATTTTTCACTAGCACATTTCCTCATATACCAGAAATTTTCTTCTTCTTTTACTGCTTTTTCCACTTCTATTTCCACCATCACTGACCCACAAACATACAAGCAAGCCCTAAAGGACCCTGGCTGGTGTCAAGCTATGAATTCTGAACTGCAAGCTTTAGAGCAGAACCACACTTGGCTCAGCACTGATCTTCCTCCTGGAAAACAAGCCATTGACTGTAAATATGTGTACAAAACCAAGTTCAATTTTGATGGAACTGTTGAGCGATTAAAAGTGAGGCTTGTCGCCAAAGGGTTCATCCAGCAAGAGGGTATTGACTACACGAAGACATTTTCTCCGGTTGTTAAATTAGTCACTATCCGGGTATTATTTTCAGTGGCAGCTGTTCAAGGATGGTTTGTCTATCAATTTGATGTCAATAACGCTTTTCTCCACGGTGATTTAGTAGAAGAAATTTATATGCGTAAACCCCCCGGATACACCAAAGGAGGACCCCACCAAGTGTGCAAATTGCTTAAGAGCCTATATGGCCTTAAGCAAGCTTCAAGACAATGGTATTCCAAATTCTCTTCCTCTCTTATTGCTTTTGGATTTCATCAATCTAAAGCTGATTATAGTNGGGTCGCATGTGTATATTTCTTGGCTATCCCTTTGGCATCAAGGGTTATAAGGTTCTTGACCTTAACACCAAATCCATTTTTATATCACGGGATGTTGTCTTCCATGAGACTATATTCCCCTTCCACTCCCTTCCTTCCAACCCTCCCCTCTCATCCCAAAATGACTTTGTCTTTACTAAACCACTTCCCGATTTGCTTGACTTTCCGCAGATAGCCCCCAACACTCATCCCCTGCCACCACTAACAAATTTTGGGCAGTCCATTTCCTCTCCAAAACATGCAGCCACTCTATCACCCTCCCCTCCTTCCCCAAATAACACTACATCTTCCCCTTCTAATCCACCCATCCGCAGGTCAACAAGGGTAAGGAGAGCTCCTCAGTACCTTCAAGAATTTCACTATCAACAGGCATCACTCCTTACTTCCTCACCATTGTTGTCCAAGCTGGAAGGCACTATTTCAGGTAACAATTTTTCACTAGCACATTTCCTCACATACCAGAAATTTTCTTCTTCTTTTACTGCTTTTTCCACTTCTATTTCCACCATCACTGACCCACAAACATACAAACAAGCCCTAAAGGACCCTGGCTAGTGTCAAGCTATGAATTCTGAACTGCAAGCTTTAGAGCAGAATCACACTTGGCTCATCACTGATCTTCCTCCTGGAAGACAAGCCATTGACTGTAAATATGTGTACAAAACCAAGTTCAATTCTGACGGAACTGTTGAGCTATTAAAAGTGAGGCTTGTCGCCAAAAGGTTCATCCAGCAAGAGGGTATTGACTATACGGAGACATTTTCTCCGGTTGTTAAATTAGTCACTGTCCGGGTATTATTTTCAGTGGCAGCTGTTCAAGGATGGTTTGTCTATCAATTTGATGTCAATAACGCTTTTCTCCACAGTGATTTAGAAGAAGAAATTTATATGCGTAAACCCCCCGGATACACCAAAGGAGGACCCCACCAAGTGTGCAAATTGCTTAAGAGCCTATATGGCCTTAAGCAAGCTTCAAGACAATGGTATTCCAAATTCTCTTCCTCTCTTATTGCTTTTGGATTTCATCAATCTAAAGCTGATTATAGTCTCTTCACTAAATTGGATGGCACTTCATTTACTGCATTGCTTGTCTATGTTGACGATATTATTGTGGCTGGAAATTTCCCTTCTTCTATTGCTTCCCTTAAAACCTTCCTCAATACCCAATTCAAAATTAAAGACCTTGGAACTTTGTGTTATTTTCTTGGGTTGGAGGTTGCCCGCTCATCTAACGGCATCCATCTATGCCAAAGAAAGTACGCTTTGGATATCTTAGCTAATTCGGGTACACTTGGGAGCAAACCTCTCAAAATACCCCTTGACCAGGACTTTAAAATCAGCAAGACAACGGGTGTTCCTCTGGCTGATCCAAGTCCCTACCGTCGACTCATTGGGCGTCTCTTGTACTTAACAATCACTAGACCTGATATATGCAATGCTACCCAGTTATTGAGTCAATTTATGGATCATCCCACCTCTACACACATGGCCACTGCACACAAAGTATTGAGATACATCAAAGCTGCCCCCGACCAAGGTATTTTATTGTCCTCTAAATCTCGGCTACAACTTAAGGCCTTCTGTGACTCCGATTGGGCCTCTTGTCCCGACACTCGTCACTCCGTCATGGGTTATTGCATCTTCTTGGGTGACTCACTTGTTTCTTGGAAAACCAAGAAGCAATTAGTGGTGTCTCGCTCTTCGGCTGAAGCCGAATATTGCTCCATGGCCTCTACTTGTTGTGAACTCACTTGGTTGAGGTTTTTGCTCACTGATCTCCAGATTTCTCATCCTCAACCTGCTCTACTTTATTGTGACAATCAGGCAGCCTTACACATAGCTGCCAATCCGGTCTTCCATGAGCGAACTAAACACATTGAGTTGGATTGTCACCTAGTTCGCTACAAGATTCAAGAAGGTAGCATCACCACTTCTCATGTCTCTTCTCACAGCCAGCCAGCAGATATTTTTACCAAAGCCCTGCCTTCATTACTTCTTCAGTCACATTTATCCAAGATGGGAATAGTAAAACTCTATTCTCCATCTTGCGGGGGGCTATTGCATGATAAGGCAGCTGCTACAAGTCATTTTACTGCAGCTACATGTCGTTTGGATACAGGCTAATTTCTTGCTGTATTTCGTTTATTTACTTTTATATTATTCTTTTATTCTTTGTAAATCCTCTCTGTAATTAGCTAGTCTTTTATTCTGTAACTGCTTTCTGTTAGTTTGTTAGAATAGAGTGCTTATATTAGTTGCCTATTGTAATAGTCTGATAGAACAATATACACAATATTCA